TCAAATGAAAACAGAATTCAAATGAAAACAGAATTCAAATGAAAACAAAACAGAGTAGCACAGGGTGTGTTTTTGGTGATCTTCAGCCTAAATGTGCATTTCTAGACATTTACAGGTGTAATGTTCTTTTAAAAAGTTTTTAAAAAAAAGGAAAATGTGGTTTTCTTGTGGATTTACTGTCTCCCCAGGTATTCCAGGTGGATTTTAATGCCCTGCCAGAAGGTGTTACATCCCTTGCTCGTGATGGTTGCACAGCCTTGATGGACCAGCAGTGTCACAGTGCAGAACAAGCCTTCTCACAGCTGCTCAGCATTCTGTATACTTCAGAATTTAGGGTAAACTCAGAGGAATAACTTGGGTTTTTAGAGTCATTTTATTTAGAGTAATTATTTTATGCATTCAACACCCTGCTTCGTTCTTTGCTTCCCCCAAAATATTCTTTATTGTTGAGTTGTTGGCTGCAGTGCCAAGTATTTCACTGGTAGTTGTGCCAAGGAAATAAGAACAAGGATAAAACCCCCCCAGTAATTACATAGGATGTGTTTTTGATAATGTTCAACACTTAAATCTAAAAAATACTTACCAAAATCATATTTTTGTTAGAGTAATATGAGCTACATTGATCAAATACTGTGTTTTATAAAAAAACACGGTCTATTGGTGGTTGGACTTGATGATCTTAAAGGTCTTTTCCAACCTAAATAATTCTGTGATTGTCAGATTAACCTTTATTCTTAATGATGTAGGGTAAGAATGATTTGTATTCTTCAAGTTAGATAACTCTTTGATGGCAAATACTCTGAAATTTGGTGTCTGTGTATCTATATCCAATCAGATATTGACCCAGTTGTCATCCTGGATGTCTTTAAATTAATATATAACAGTTTGTACAATGTTTTTGTTTGTGCTGCCACTATAATTTGACTTTCTTTTTTTTTTTTGGCAGTGTCTGAATATTCATAAAATTAATTATGCCATAATCATCTATGGACATGCCACTGCCCTGCTGGGAATAGGACAACCTGAGGTAGGAATGAGGCCTGGTTTTATCTATTTTATATTTAAATACTGCTTTTATTTCGACCTCTAGCTCAGGCAGCTGCCCATCCATTTTTATCTCTTCCTAAGAGACAGAAAATAAGTGGGGAAGGAAACCTGGTGACACAATTTGGAATTATACAGTGGGACTAGATCCTTAATGACTTTGGATAAATAAAGCTACCAAATAAAATGTCTTTTTTAAGCTTTCAAATGAGATTCTGGTGTTAAGAAATTATTTACTAAATATATATATATTACATTATATATATACATATTATTACATATATATATTATTACATTATTATATTGTTATATATTATTATATATAATTCATATATGACTATTATAATTGGTTTTTTTCTTCTACTTTGTAATGTGGGTCTGCACCAGTGTTTTTAAGACAAACATTCAGCTCCTAAAACAGGAGACAGAGTTTGCTTATTTTGTTCTGGAAAACATCAAAATACTTTGCCTTCGGTTCTGGAAAACAGCAAACTCTGGATTTGTTTGGGTTTATTGTTTTGTTTTGTTGGTTGTTTGTTTTTCAAGTTGGTTTGGGGTTTTCTTCCTGCAGTGTTTTATAATATTCAGTGTCTTACAATGAATTTAAAAACCAATTTAAAAGCCATTTGATTTCATTCTTTCAGAGGGAGTCTGTGTTTACAGAGTAAGTTTCTTCTTTTTTAAAAAAGGGGAAGCTTTTTCCTGTGATCATAAGGTTGTGTAATTCCATTTACTGTTCATAAGACTGATCAAAGAATAGGGCACCCTGACCCACTGTAATGGGAAAAAAAAAACAGAGGAAAAGTGGAAAACTTGTGGAAAACTTATGGAAAAGCACCATTTATTTGTGTCTTACGTTTCTTTTGAAGGCATTGGCAAAGGCTGAAGACCAGTTTAAGAAAATAATTGAAGAGTACCCAGAAGAAAGATGCTTTTGCTTGGCACATTATGGAATTGGGAGGGTTTACCTCAGGCAAAACAGGTCGGTGTGATGGAAAACTTCAGGATTTGGTAGGGAAAAAAAACCAAAACAAATAATCCTTTCGTTTGAGGAACGAGGCGTGGTGGGGTTTTAATTATTTTGTGTTAATCACTGAACTCCTCCATCGGGCTGATTTTAGTGTCAATCACTGAATTCCTCCATCAGGATGATTTATTACAGCTTGGAGTTTGTTCCTGCCGAGGAGCTCATGGAATAATCCAGTGGATTTGAGGGAACAGGGATGGGACTGACCAGCTCATCCCTGCAGTGGTGGTGTGGAGGGGGGAGAGCTCTGTGGGAGAAGAACAAAAACCTTTGTGTTCTTGTGGAAAAAAAATGTAGTGTAAAGAAAACTCAACTTTATCTCAGGCCTGGGGAGGCCGGGGGGTGACCTTGGGCTGAGATAAGGCCCCTGCTCCAGTGAGTCACCGCATTCCCTGGGACAGATAACAGGGATGTTTTCCTGTTTTCCCGAGCCAAAACACCAGAGGGAGGTGGGGGGGAGTGTGAGGTGCAAAAGCAGGGCAAGTAACAAACTCTAGAGCTGCTTCAACCCACGGATTCCTGGTGGGGTTTCTTCCCAGCATCCTGAAACCGGGAATCACAACTGTGATGGTGCAGCTCCGTGTGGGCGATTGCTGCGTGTGAAGCTTGGGTTGTGATTTTTGGTGCTTCGCTGCTGCTCTGTGCGATTAAAATCCACCAGAAAGCTTGTGGTGGGGTGAGAGACCTTCATCCAGCTCTGCCTCCCGCTCCCCCTCCTCGGCAGGAGGTGGGAAAGCTCCGGGATTGAGATAAAGGCAGGGAGATGATCGCTTGCTGATGAGCCACGGGCAAAGCAACGTGGGGCAAAACAACTTGTTGTCCCTTAAAATAGAGTTGAATGGTGGGGAAAAAAATAGAACCACTGAAATCACCTTTCTCCTACCCCTCCTTTATCCCAGGCTCGACTTCACTCCCTCATTCCCTCCTCCTCCTCTCCCTTGTTCCCTCCTCTCCCTCCTCCTCCCCTGAGCAGCCCAGAGGGATTGGGCACGGGGGAGCTTTTTTCACTTTACTCCCCACAGCCCTGCGGTGTGTTTTGTCCTTCCTTATCCCTGTTTTCCCCGAGGTGCTTTGCCTGAGGGGCTCTGCTGTTCCCTGTGGTGGGTTTGTTGTATCCAGCTGGAGCTGGGGCAGCCCTGGCTTCTCCTCAGGGAATGGTTCCCACCTGCCTGCCCAGCCTTGCCATGTAAAGCCAATACAATGCCAAATTAAGTAAGTTTTGATGTTAAACCTTAACCCCTCCTTGTGTGGAACGTCTCAAAGCACTGGGCAGAGTGGGTTGGATGCTGAGAGGGGATTCCTGCTTCCCACTGTTGGGTGCAGTCTGTGTTCCAGGAGCTGCCTGCATCCCAATCCCGTGGTTGTGGCTCTTCTTTCCTTGGCAGTTTTGACCCAAAAAGTTGCCTGCACAGGTGACAACCCCTCTGACCACCCAGCCTCCCCCAGGCAGGGCTGCTCCCATGTCTGCACTGCCTGAACTCAGGGAAAACCCGGAATCCTGTGTCCCCTCCCTGGCTGAGCAGGGTTGAAGGTCACTCCTGTGCGCACAAACACGTCCTCACTCTGCATTCCCAAGCACTCCCACATTCCTGGATCCCTGGAATGTCAGCACAGGCTCTCAGTCTGCCTCATATCCATGCCTGGATGTTGAGCCCTTTACCTGGCTCACAGCTTGAATCTTTTATCCCAGAGAGTCCTTAAACAGGGAATTCAATGAACCAGGTGTTCTCTCACCCCACACACTCCCCGTTGCTGCTGTCTGCTGCTTGGATGATAAAATGAATCATCAAGGACTGTGTAGAAGTTGCTCACAGAGGATCTGAATGTGCTGTGCCTGTTTCCAACTCCAGATTTGCTCATGCACTCGATCAGTTCCTGAGATCAAAGCTGATGATTGATTTGAAGATTGTCCCGGGGGTGTTGACGTGGCCGGGGACAACTCGGGTCATCGAGGAGACACGGACAGAGAGTTTGCAGGTGTGTTTAACCTCCTCCTCCTCCTTCCCTTCCTCCTCCTCCTCTTCCCTGCCTCCCACCGTCCACATCCAAGAAAGATGGGGGTGAAATGGAAATGTGGGAAGCATCCCATTAACAGCATAAGGGCAGGAGCTCTGGGTCAGGCTCTGTGCTTGGGGATTCCTGTGGAATATGGTTCTGTTCTGCTCCAAGTATTTCCTGATTTCTTCAGGGAAGAATTTCCTCGTGGAAAGGCAGGGAGGTTTGGAGTGCCCATCCCTGGGGGTGTCCAAGGAACAACTGGACGTGACACTCAGTGCTCTGGGCTGGGGGACAAGGTGGGGATTGGGCACAGGGTGGAGTCTGATCTCAGAGATCTTTTCCAGCCTCAGTGATCCTGTGATGACGGGTGAAATCCTTCGTTGCACATCACCAAACTTTTAAGTTGTGAATACAGAATATAACACCAGAGAGAGCTGGTTAAAAATCGGAATTGGCAGAAATGTGAAGTGGAAAATGGCAGCAGCGTTGAAAACCAGCCGGGGTGTTGCCCGTAACAAAGACACAAACCAACAGAGTGCCGGTTTATGCGGTGCTTTATTCAGGGCCCAAGTCAGGATTCCGAAGACCCTCATTTCACGTACAGCTTTTATACTCTCACACAAACAACTCTACGTGCAAATTCCACAAAGCAGTTGCATTCTGTTACAAACAAGCTCATATTTTATGCTGATAACAATTGATCGTAAATCTGCTTCAGCTGTCTTGCTCCTAGAAAGAGTTTAACAGACCCTAACCACAAACACATCTATCTAAGGCAACAAATCGTTATATACATGCTTGGCTAAATCCTTTGATTACTGTTTCCACTCCTTCAGCACATTCCATTCTTACATCTATGTTGCTGACTCTAACTACTACTTTAGGCCTACAGCTTCCTCAAGCCTTAGCCATTCTACTTCTAATGCTCAGTTTTAATCAGCTCTGCAACAAGGGGGCTTTGACTGGGTCATTTTTGGTTGATGCAAAACTCCCTGTTTGACTTGAAAATTGTGCCTCGTGGATGTGGCACCACGAGGGGCAGGAGCTGCTGTGCAGGGAGGCACTTTTGGCCCAGGAGAACTTTGGAGGTTGTTCAGTGTCTGAGCTTGGCTGGACCTGTTTAGTTTTGGGTGGAAGCAGCAGTTCTGTTGTTTCCTAAACAAAAACTGACCCGAGGGTTTCTCAGAGACCCCCCCAGAAATCTGGTCACAGTGGTCTGGGACCTCTGGAGAGCATCATGCAAATATCTGGCAGGGTTTGCTAGAGGTCTGTTTGTTTTTAATGGTGGTTTATTAATCTGCACTCAGTGCCAGCACTGTGGCACTTGCACTGACTCTACATAAATCCACTTCACATAAATCTTTCCCTCAGAGAATATCCTGGGAGAGACCTCCCTGGCTCCCCAGAGCTGTCCCTGGGATTGTGCTTGATCCTGTAACCCAGATCCCAGGTGAGAGAAACTCTGGGAAGCTTCAGAGATGAGCAAGACACTCTGTTTTTATCCCATTATCTCAGTTAACCTGGCTCCTCCTTTTGGCAGTGGGACACTTCCTGCAGTTGGGATTGCTCAGGGTGTAAAACACAGGTCCAAGATAAACCTGCTTTTTTTTTTTTTTAATGTGAGGACTCAGCTGACAGCACTTCAAACAAACTCAGGAATATTTTGGCCATAAAAGGACAATTTTACGTCTTTCCACTTAGAAAAGAGTTGTTCCTCTGGTCTTAGTCAGCTGCTTTTCCAAGGGAGATTCGTGCCTGGCTGCAGAATTCCCCAGGAGTCTGTGAGTACACACTGAATATTCCCTGATTTCCATGCAGTTTGCCTCACATCCCTTTTGTTTTTTTTCCTCAGATGGCTTTAAGGAATTGTATTGAGCAGTGCAAGTTCCCCCCAGAACCAGACGCTGTCTGTCGGTATCAGCAGTGCCACGGCCACTCCAAAATCCAAATATTTTTTACAGACCCAGACTTTAAGGTAAATTTTGAGGGCAGAGGTGAATTTAAAAGGGTTTGAGGAGTAAAACTTCATGCTTGCATGGTTTCTTCCCCCTTCCATGTTCAGCTGTTTAGCTGAGCACTGTTCCCTATTGTGCTTTTCCTTAAAAATGTTGAATTTGTCCCATTTCTCGTTGTTAGGGTTTTATACGTGTTATTTGCTGTCAGCAGTGCAGGGTGGAGTTTCACATCAGCTGCTGGAAAAAGTTGAAAACAACAAGCTACAGTGATAAAAATGATAAGGTAAGAGCTTTGGCAGGCCAACAGGCATCTTTAATCAAGTTTATATTATTGATATTATATTTTATTTGTATTATTTATATTATACTTACTGTAATTTTATAAACTACAGTATCAGCAGCCAGTGTGAAACGAAGGGAAATCAGGCAACGTGTGAAGTAATAAAAGTATTCTGAAAATTGATTTTTTTGAGTGTGAAGTTGGCTTTGGGAATAAGAGGGACGTGCCACAGATCTTCCTGAATTTTTTGATTTGATTTTTTTTTTAATTACCTCCAATTAAGAAACTGTGGTTTGTGTAAGAGCCCAGCTGGTGTGTGTGGGTTTAAATCCCTTTGTTTTGTGTGTTTTCTCCCACAGGATTTCCTTAAGGAATTGTGTTTTACTCCCGATTGTAAAGGCCTTATTTCAAAAATAATTATTTTCAGTTCTTCTGGTCTGGTAAAACGTGAAGTGAGTACGTTCATATTTTACATGAAAATTAATCTTAAAAATTTTAAGGAGATAAAGTGAAGATGAGAATTTAACTGCAACAAAAAATTGAGTTGTGCTGTCTTAACTGTGGGATCTGAGCATTATTTAGGAATATCAATTCCCTGGGTTACCTTCCAGCCTCTCTTTCCTGCTGATAAAGATGCTCCATCCCAACTTAGAGCAGCAAAAGATAATTTTAGTTAGACCTTCAGGAGGTTTATTTAGGCTTCCTTTTCTCTTTTGTAGTATTTTTACTGCTTTCCAAATGTTTCTGGGGTTTGGGTGCAGCCACGTTGGCCTCGTAAACCCAAATTTAATTAATTCCTCCTCCCTTCTTTTGGTAGTTTGAAGTAAAAATCGCAAAACTCAAGGGACCACCAAGGGCCTGCATTAAACAGAAATGTTCAAGGTAAGGTCTCTGCTGTTTTAAATCAATTTGAGAATAAACCAGTGCTCTCTAGGACTGATTTTTGTGCCTTTTTGAGAGTTGCTAGAAGAACACCAGTCCTTTGGAAGGACTGTTCTTGGCCTTTTGATAACCTAAAAAGGCTGGTAAAGTACATTATAATGCAATTATAAAGGCATTTAAATTGTTCCACAGGATTTACTGCCTCAGCAACTTCGTGTAAATGCTTAAAAAGTGTAAATAAAACCTGTATTTAATGTTGTTCCTTCAGTTATTGCTGCACATCCCTTTGATATAAGTGAGTTTTTGGTCAAGTGAGGTTGTAAATGAGGCTGGGAGGAGAAACAAAATCGATTTTTAAAAATCAAAGAAAAAATTAAAAATTTAAAATTTCAATTTTACAAATTTCAAGAACTCAAATGTTAATATTGGGTTCAAAAACGCTGAGTTGTAAATTAAGAAAAGAAAGGATAATACTGAAGTTAAAGAAAAAAGGATAATAGTGAAGTTGGGAAAAAAAGGATAATAGTGAAGTTGGAAAAAAAGGATAATAGTGAAGTTGGGAAAAAAAGGATAATACTGAAGTTAATGCTAATTCAGACACCTTTAATAGGAGTAAAAATTGTTGCATTGAGGACTTTAATACTTGATTTTTATGCAACTGTTGTGAAATTTTGTGGTCTCTTGACTGGTAAACGAAAAGCGGCTTTATCACATTTGTATTTTTCAGCCCAGTATTTTCAGGGAAATGGAGCTGATAGCTAATAATGTTATGACAAATAATTGAGATGTGCCTGATTCCTTTGGCAGCTGACCTCAGGCAGTGGTTTTTTTTTCAGTATCAGGAAGTTAAAAACGAAGCAAGAAAAAAAACTACGGAGGAAACGCGCGCGGGAAGAGGCTCGAAATTCCACCAAAAAGAAAGCAGAGGAAAACCAGGAGGGGAATGAACGGTCCCAGTACAGTCAGAACAGGGGTAGGTGGAACATTGTTGTCCTGATTTCTTCATGGGGAGGGTTGGAAATGTTGCCCAGGGGGGTGGTGGATGCTGATGTTGAACATAATCCTCCTCTGGAAGACTCGTGTGTTTTAACTTGGATTTACTTTTATTTCAGTTCTGGTTTTAATTCCCAGATGTGTCAGTGCAGGGTTAAATTCCTCATGGAAAACCTTGGTTCTTCCTTGGCTGCTTCGTGCAGAGTCAGCCCGAAGGGGGCAAAAGGCTCCAATTCCAAGTTAAAATTCCTGTTTTAAAAGGGATTTCAGGGTAAGCTTTATGCCCAAAAAGCTGGGATGCTGTTGAGGAAAAACAAAAAAAAAAGAGGAAAAAACCCCAGGATCTTCTCAAAAGAAAGAATGATGTCAGCAGTGACTTGAAAAGTATATTTTAGAGGATTGGGGTAAAATAAAATACTTAAATTTAAAAGTTTGTGGGCAGTTAATGCTCCAGCTTTTGCTGGGCTGTTGGGCTGCACTGCCCTGTTTCAGAGCTGTGAACAACTCCTGCAGCTTATCAGGGCAAAGAGAAAGGGGTGATGTTGGAAAAATTCATTTTTGTCTGTGTTATTAACTTGACATCTAATTAACTCCATTTCCTAGAAGGATTTTCCTTGTTAAATACTTTGAGGGCGCTTTTTTATCCCATTAAAAAAGTTCTCTAGATCCCTTTTTTGCTCAGTGGCATAACCTGGCACTTGGAGAGATTTTTGCTTCCTTGTGGGTTTCTAAAATCAGGTCCAGTTGCCTCCTGTTTGTTTTTGGGGGTTTTTTTAAGTATTTATTGTCTCTTTTTCTGTGGCTTTTCCGTGGTCCTCGAAGCCACTGCAGGTCACTGTTACCTGCAGGTGACTTGACTGTTCACCCTAAAATCCAGTCAGGGTGTTTGTTTCTTTGTGTAAACCAAATTTTAAACCAATTTTGTATCAAATTCATAATATAAAGCTATTTTATATGGAAAACATATTTATATATAATTACTGACATTCTGTAATTTCAGTGTGGTGATAAAGCATATAATTAATAACACCACTGAGTCCCAATCACCTGTACTTAAAAATTGGTTTTTTATTGTGGTAGAGACATGAAATGTTGTTCATTTTGGGTTTTGTTTGTTTTTTTTTTGGTTCCCACTGTAGGTTATGGCCAGGATTTCTCTGCTGGTGACCGGGTCCTGCAGCACATCAGCCGGAATTCCGAGCAGATCCAGACAGCAGGGGGTGATGCTGCCAAGTTATTAAAGGAATTACTGTCCTGGTTTGTCATCAGCGAGGAGGATTACACCTCATATTCCCAAACTATTCCCAGCAAATCCAAGGAAGTGATGGAGCAGCTCATCAGCCACTTAATTCAGGAAAAAAACAGGGTCAAAACAAGGGGGTTCATCCACGTGCTGAGCGAGCTGGAAGGGGTGGATCCCAAATTACTCAAGTGGCTGAAACATCTTAATAACTTGGGTAGGTTGTGCTCCTGGAGCAGCACAACACCTTTATCTGGCAGAGGAGAGGATAA